GAAATTCCTTGTCAGTCATTTCAAGGGCTTCTTGTTCTATAGGATCTAGAGTTTGAGATTTATTAACTTTTGGTGGTGTACTTTCTTGATTTTTTGTATTTCTGGTATCTTTTTTTTTGATGTTTATTCATTGTGGCAGGGGGTTTCACAGTCCACCGGTTTGAGACTTTTGACTAACTAAAATGTTGCTGTGGTTGTCAATTTGGTATGGATACCTCCGTGACTGCTCAGTTGGCCTCTAGTGCCTTGTGTGTGTGGTTGCCTCGGGTCTTGGGCCTCTCCAGCGAGCCACCTCTCTGGTCAGCTTGGACTCTGCTGGGCTGCTGGATCACAGGGCAGGACCACAGGGTGTGTGGTCTCTGCTGTGCTTCCACTTCCCGTGCAGGACTTCTCCCTGTTCCGAGTGGTCTGGCCCAGGCTGCTGGATCACGCAGTGGCGGCCCCACAGGTGTGTGGTTTCTGTTGAGTCTCTGCCTCCCTAGCCTGATGTCTCCCCGCTCTGTGCACATTGGGCTGGGCTGGGATGTGTCTTCTGCAATCCTCGTCTACCTGCTGGGCCTTCAAGACCCTGCTCAGCACTGCCTCTCCCAGGAAGTCTACCCGGTTTCTGCTAGGTGCAGACAACGGGTCACTCTGGGTGCCTTTGTAGCACTGTGTAGATCTTTCTCAGGACTTATCACCTTCCTCCTGGTATCACGGTTATTTGTGTAATTGTCTTATCTCCCACACCAGAGCGTGAGCTCCTCGGGGGAGGAGCCTGCAGCACATGGTTCACCTTTGAATCCCCCCGGCGCAGACCAACTCCAGTGCCCACCCGCAGTCAGCTCTCCAGCAGGTTCAAGAGAACTCAGGAACTCTCTGACCACACTATTCCTAACCAGATATCGATTAGGCGTTTTTCCGAACTGGTGGCCACAGAGATGTTATCTGCCTCCCGGTAATTGGAAGTTTACCGGGGGTCGGAGCCCAGGGTGCGGTGGAGTGACAGTCGGCCCAGCCCGTACTTCCTTGCCCTCCCGACGCTGGCCG